AGGGTATTATAATTTCAGTCAGATGTTTGCAAAGCAGTGAAGGAGACGTTTCCGACCACATAAAGTATATATATTCTTGATCAGCACCAATAGCCGAGTCTATCTAGCCATGTCCGTCTGTCCGTCTGTCCGTTTCTATGCGAACTAGTCTCTCAGATTTAAAGCTATCGCGATGAAACTTTCCCGAAAGCCTTCTTTCTATTGCAGGTAGTACATATGTCGGAGCGAGCCGGATCGGACAACTATATCTTAAGGCTCCCATAGGAAAATTCAAACAAATATAAGAAAATTCATTGTAACTTTGTTGGAAGTAGGCGTTTTGATTTTTGACAACTTAAAAATAAAATTTAAATAATAGGCACGCTGAATCTGGAATTCCCGGAACTGCACAGAGTGAGCATTAAACTATAGGTGTTTGCTTTATCTGCAAGAGTATATAAGCTTCGGCTGGCCGAAGCTAGCTTCCTTTCTTGTTGCTAATGTTATTGTATAAGATCGTAAGTTAGCAGATGAAGGCGGTGTTTTCTTGGTTTGAAAATACTGATTGAAGATTTTCAGTTAGGGTTTTTATTTCTTTGAATAATTTTGAATTAATTACAAATTGATCGTTATTATTACGGATTAAATCATTAATTTTATCACGAACTGCTATGAAATCATCATGATCTGGTGTTCCTGCTATCCATTTCCAAAGTGTACCTAATTCGTTCATTCCCCTTTTAGCTCTACTGGGTGTAATTTGCGAGATGAGAATTTTAATAATGTCTAAGTCGTAGGAAATTTCCCACTGTGAATTCTGAATGCTTATATTTAAGTGAGTTGATTCTAGTTGAATTATGTTTTTATATAGACTTAGATTAGTTACATGGAATAGGTCAGCGTAAGATTCATAAATTAGAACGTCTTTAGTATCCTTGTAAATAAAAAAATCATGGTTCGTATAGTCCATTATTTCGGAATTGGTGGCGACTATCATCAACAATTTGAATTCATTTTCTGTAATTTAAAACAAATTGTGTTTAAAATTTGAAGTTGTCTTTATGAATAGTACGGTTTCTATTATTTATAATAACCTTATTGGGTAGATTTTCCTTAACTACTTGTCTTTTATATCGAGAATTAAGCTTGTTTCTTTCCCCATGCTTCTTTTCAAAAATAACTTCCCCTACGAGATAGTCCTTCTCCTTTCTGTCCTTTTTATGTCCCTCTAACATTTTCTCTTGTGTAGTTTTTAACAATAGAGGAATAGTATCGTGCTCAATTTTATTATACAGTATGTCAAAGGGTTTTTGGTTGGTTGTTGAATGAATGGTTTTATTATATTCTTGCGCGGCTCGTATTATAATTTCGGTATAGTCGGTTAAATTAAATTGCTCTTTAAAGCAGCGGGCTAATTCTGTTAATGTCGAATGTGCCCTTTCGACTTGACCGTTTGAGATACTGTGTCTTGGATCTGCGTAATGTAAAGTTAAACCGCTTCTTTATGCAAAGGATTTAAATTGCGCAGAAGTAAAACTCGGTTCATTATCGGTCATTATTACCTTGGCTAGAGGAAATTGTTGAAGTAGTTCCACTACTTTATTTTCAATATTTTATTTATTTTGGATTTCTTTAACTATTAGAAATTTTGAATAGGCGTCAATACAAGTTATAACAAGAAAGGAAGCTAGATAAAGTAATGCTTACTCGGTGCAGTTCCAGGAATTCCAATTTTGTTTTTAAGTAGTCAAGAATCAAAACGCCTACTTCCAACAAAGTTACAATGAATTTTCTTATATTTGTTTGAATTTTCCTATGGGAGCCTTAAGATATAGTTGTCCGATCCGGCTCCCTCCGACATATGTACTACCTGCAATAGAAAGAAGACTTTCGGGAAAGTTTCATCGCGATAGCTTTAAAACTCAGATACTAGTTCGCATAGAAACGGACAGACGGACATGGCTAGATAGACTCGGCTTTGGTGCTGATCAAGAATATATATACGTTATGTGGTCGGAAACGTCTCCTTCACTGCGTTGCAAACATCTGACTGAAATTATAATACCCTCTACAAGGGTATAAAAATGAGACTTTGCGCATAATATATATCAATATGTAAATTTTCGCCCTCTTTGGATGGAATTGGGGCTTCACCAATAGAAATTTTAATTGGGTGTCTATTATATTAGTTTTCATTGCAAATATTACAGTTTTAAATATATTCTTTTAGTTTTGAAAATAACTTGGGCCAGTAATACAATCTACATATTTGTTTGTAGTTTTCATCTAGTCCTCGGAGAGCTCTACTGTGTGTTTCTTCTATTATAATAGCCTTGTCTTTATTGTTTTCTACATCTTGAAGAAATGTCCTTGTGTAAAGAAATTTATTAACGAAGTTTTCTTTTAAAGGTTTTTGAATTATATAAAAGTCTTCAAGTGTACAATGTATACCGACGGTGACATTTGGTTGTAAATATTCTCTTAGAATTGAAACCAAATTTTCCTGAGTGTCATACTCGACTATATGTCTGGTATTATTAAATATTCTTGGACGTTGATGCACCATGATCAGTACAAACAAGTGGCCCTTACGACACCAAGCAAAGCTTGTTACGCGCGGAGCCCTAAACCGTTTTGGGCAAGTAAGCGGAATCGCGGACATGGAAAAACTACGATTTAACAATAAGGTTAAAATACATGTTCACAATGAATTTACAAATTATTTGAAGACAGAAAATACATAAGTTTAGTATAATTAGTAGCATTAGGGGTATCAAACAGTAAGACGTGGTACAGTGAATTATAGTCGTCACACAGAACACGAAAAGAATCATGCAGGGCATATTTAGATCTACATATTGGCAGGGACAACGGACGAAAACGGCGAACTGTTCTACAGGGTACATTCCAGTTAAGTGAACTAAGAAGGAAAGGGGAGTCGACATCACCATTAATAAGTTTGTGTAAGAACATAACTCCATGAAACTTTCTACGATGGTAGAGGGTTGGTAGGTCGAGCAGGCGCAACCTCGTAAGATAAGAGGGCAATCGACTACCTGTGTCCCAGTTTAAACCCCTCAGAGCAAAAAGAAGGAATTGTTTTTGGGCAGACTCTAACATATTTTGGTAACAACTAATTTGAGGAGACCATATACAAGAGCAATATTCCATAGTCGGACGAACAAGAGAAACATACAAAAGCTTTGTTGTGTAAGGATCATCGAACTCCCTTGACCAACGTTTCAACGTTTTTGGCTTTATTAGATATAGTAGATATATGGTCTGTAAAACTAAGTTTATGATCCAATAAAACGCCAAGATCCTGAACTGAAAAAAATCGTTCAAGGGCGTTATTTCCAATAGAATAAGAAAACAGAGATGGATTACAACGATAGAAGGTCATAAAGTTACATTTAGAATAGTTTAAATTTAACATGTTAATCATGCACCACGTATACAAACAATCAAGATCTAATTGAAGGTCATTATATGAGTTAGGTAAACACATGGACAAACATAGCTTGACATCATCTGCATACATTAATACGGTAGACGATTTTATACCATTAGGTAGATCATTAATCATTAAGCCAAAGAGTAAAGGACCCAGGTGACTACCATGTGGCACTCCAGAAGTAACATTAATTATTTTGGAAATTCTATTGTTAAAACAGACCATTTGAGTTCTATTAGAAAGGTAGGAAAGTATCCAGTCAAGTTCGGCCAATGAGCTAATGGGATGGCTTGGAGGGCGCCGAGCTGAAGGCAACCGAACGGGTCGCAGGTTGCGGATAGCGAACGCCCTGGTTTTTTTCAGGGGAACCAAAAAAAAAAAACCCCGGAAAGAAAGCGGAGGTAGTCTGCGCCGTAGCAGTGCCGACGTCGCGCTTGTGCTGCCGCCTCCCGGGCTGGACTAAGGTGTCACTCGAACCGTGCCGAGAGTCAATCTGGCTGGGAGCCCGAGTCAACAAATAACTCAGTCTCTAACGGTGGGCTCAAGCAAGACCGGGTGGACCTGTCCTTTCTCCGCAGCTCGTGGGAACTAGAGAGTCGAGAATTCAAATATAAATAAAAAAGCAAACGTAGAGTCCGACACTCTTAAAAAGTCGGAAGTCACCACCAATAAAGACCAAATAAGCAAGGGTGGCGTACCGAAAGCCCCTACTCATGCAACATCGACACGAGCCAAGGCCAGCGGACCACGCAGCCAGGCAGCCCCCACGAACAGCAAGGGCCAACCCAAAACACCCACCAAAGCTGAGGCGGCTCACCAGCCAAACCAACCGAAGGAAGGTGCAAGGGCTGACCTTGTGGTAAGTACCAGGGCCAAGGAGTTCAAGCGAACACCACCAAATCAGGCAGGACCACTGGAACGAAAGAAGGCAAACCGCATCTTAAAACGTCTGGCCACCAACCCCATACGGGAGGATCAGACTTCCAAGGAGGACTACCAGTAATTCCAGACTTCGACCCCGCAAAGATACCAAGCGACAGCAACAAGCGGGAGAGGTCGATCGAAGTGGCGCAACCAGCGAGCAAGAAGGCCAAGACAACCAGCCGCGGCACGTGGTCTAGATCCTTTGCCGAAGTGGTGAAGGATCGGAAGATCATCGGCGTCATCGACCAGAACGATGAAGGCGGCAGGATCACAAGGAACCAGTGGGGTCAGGTTGAGCGGGCACTTGCGACGGTGGCCTTGAAAGTGCTGGACGAAAACCCAGGACCACCACCTGACTGCACAGATGCAGGGTGGTACCAGGGCAACGTAAAGTTGATCGCCTGTGAGGACGAGAGATCGGCAGCGCTCTACAAGGCTGCCATTACCAAAGTTGGCAAGGTCTACCCCGGGGCCAAGCTAGCCGTCTGCGAGGCAGCGGATATCCCGTCCAGACCAAGGGCGATGGATGCCGTCTGAACCCTCTGAGCCAGAGGCTATTCTTAGCCTCTTGACAAGTTTCAACCCCAAGCTCCCAACAGAAGGTTGGAAGGTAGAGAAGGTTGAGAGGACTGAACGCGTCACCATGAACGTGGTGATTCTCCTCAACCAGGCATGCCTGGAACCCCTGGCAGCATCACAGAACCGAGTCAACTACGGTTTCGACAAGGTGCAACTCCGCATATACGACACGGACAAACTAGCGGCAGACAATCTGGCTGCATGTGCGTCCTACACTCATCTAAGGAACTCATCCTGGGTGGAGACGCCAACTCACACCACACACAATAGGGAAGTACTTTATGACTATCTCCTTCAATCCAACTTATTCATCTGCAACAAAGGTAATGACCCTACTTTCATCACTAGAAATAGGAGGGAAGTCTTAGACATTACCCTGATATCTGATACCCTACTCAACCATCTTGAAGAGTGGAAAGTGGGAGCCGAACACTCCTTCTTCGACCACCGATATGTAGAATTTACAATATCTCTAGAATGTCCTCCCCCCGAGAGCATAAGAAATCTAAGACGCACTAACTGGGGGTACTACAAAATACTCCTCGATAGAAACATAAATACTCCACCGACTCAAGTACTCGACAGTCATGAATTAGAAAACCTAGTCAATACTTTCACTGACATCTGTAGTGAGGCCATAAAAAAGGCCTGCCCAAGCCGAACAGTCAAAACAAAACACAAACCGCCTTGGTGGAACACTACCCTGGCGGCCCTTAAAAGCGACTGCAGAAGTCAGAGTCACAGAGCTAAATAAAGCAACAACGAAGCTTCCTGGAACACGTACCATACGAAACTAAGCCATTACAAAAAGGAAATTAGAATATCAAAGCGAAGAGAATGGGCCAACTTCTGCAGTAGCATAGAATCTACAGCGGAAGCGTCCAGGCTCAGAAGAATTTTAGCAAAATCTCCAGCAACCGTTGGATACCTAAAAACCAATGAAGACACTTGGACGGGAAACAGCCAGGAAACTTTATAACTCCTGCTAGACACCCACTTCCCTAATAACACGCAAGCAGTAGAGGACCTCCATTTAGTGGAGAACCTCGACGAGCAGAGCATTGACAGCATTTCAAACCCTGAACGCATCAAATGGGCGATTAACTTTTTTAAGCCCTTCAAATCACCTGGCCCTGACGGCTTTTTCCCGGCACAACTTCAACGGACAATAGATACTACCCTTCCATGGCTGACGGTCATATTCCACGGCTGTCTGGCACTGAATCACATACCATCCAGATGGCTGGACATTAAAGTAATATTTATACCAAAGGCTGGCAAGCCCTCTCACACCTCTCCAAAGGACTTCCGTCCAATAAGCCTCTCCTCCTTCTTATTAAAGACCCTGGAAAGGCGTACCAAAAGGGCAGATAAACAGATACTGCCCTAGACTCCCTAGTATCTTATATAGAGAGAGGGTTCCAAAACAAGGAATACTCCTTGGCAGCCTTCCTAGACATAGAAGGCACTTTCAACAATGTCACCCCAACGGCTATCACTGGCGCTATGACGGAACTAGGCATTGAGCGCCCTATAGTGGGACTCATTCACACCATACTCACCAGTAGGGTAGTGTACTCCACTATGGGATCAGCACAATCGACTAGGAACGTTAGTAGAGGAACACCGCAAGGCGCTGTACTTTCCTCTCTGCTATGGGTTTTAGTTGTTAATAAACTTTTATCACTTCTAGAGGAAGCGGGAACAAAAGTGGTGGTCTATGCGGACGACGTGGTTATCCTAATGCAAGGAAAATTTCCTCAAACGCTATGCAACTTGATGGAGACAGCCTTATCCACACTCTCAAGGTGGAAGCGCGCTGCGGACTGGTTGTCAACCCAGAAAAGACAGAATTAGTTCTATTTACAAGGAAGTATAAGATACCAAGTCTAACTCTCCCAAAACTACACCAAACTCGCCTTACTCTTAGCAACCAAGCAAAGTATTTAGGCGTCATCCTAGACAAGAAACTCCTCTGGGCAGAGAACATCGCGGACCGCACACGCAAAGCGGCCATAGCACTCTTTGCTTGTAAAAAAGCTATAGGGAGAAAGTGGGGCTTCTCTCCCGTAATAGTTCACTGGCTATACACTGCAATAGTCAGACCCATTCTCCTCTATGGAATCATCGTCTGGTGGCACTCCCTAGAAAAGAATTGCAACCTAAAGAATCTGCACAAGATCCAAAGAAGCGCAGAACTCTGCATAAGTGGGGCGCTTCGCACAACCGCCACTGAAGCATTGAATACAATTCTTGACCTAGAACCTCTAGACCTGCTTGCCAAAAGCTGGGCATCAGCAACGGCGCTGAGGCTCCGCGAAGCGTCGGCCTGGTCAACAGGCTCATCAGGTCACTCCATTATACTTACAAACCAGCGTTATATACCACACAGAACAGACTACGTCCCACCCATAGTCAACTTCGAAAAAAGATACAAGGTTCTCATACCCACCCGCACAGAATGGGACCACCTCCCTCACCAGATCGAGAACGCCGTCAATATATACACGGATGGCTCCAAGCTTAACTTGCAAACAGGAGGGGGAGTTTTCTCGCCTGAACCAGACATAAAAGTCTCTTTTCGACTACCAGATCACTGTAGTGTCTTCCAAGCGGAAGTGATGGCAACCCAGGAAGCCATGTCTTACCTGGATACAACAAATCACTGCAACACAGACATCATCATATTTTCCGACAGTCAAGCAGCCCTCAGGGCCCTCGACTCCTACTCAACTAACTCACTTACTATCTCTGAATGCCGCAAATCTCTGAACGAGATGGCCACTCATCTCAGAATCAGCCTCATTTGGGTGCCTGGACCCGTAACATTGAACGCAACTGCATAGCGGACGAACTAGCAAGACAAGGGACAACCACCGACATCTTTCTCGATAAGGACACGGTGGGCATGCCCATAGCTACCTGCAGTCTTCTCCTCAAGCAAAGATTGTATACCCTCTCCAACAACCGTTGGAATACGATCTCAACATGCCACACCTCCAGGCTCACCTGGGGTAATTATAACCCGAAAATAACCAAAACCCTTTTACAATGTATCAGGGCAGACATTTCCATCCTAATTAATGCCCTCACGGGCCACTGTCTTTTAGGGACACACGCGCGCCGGCTAGGACTCAGCAGCTACGACTACTGTCGCAGCTATAAACAGATAGAAGATAAGGAGAACATTGAACACCTCCTGTGCTTCTGCCCAGCACACAACCTCAACCGTTTTCAAAGACTAGGAAGCTACACGCTTCCAAACCTTGCAGCCATACAAGGCACCAGCATACCCAAACTCCTTTGTTTTCTGAAAAGAACCAACTGGTTCGAGAAACCCAATAACCCATGAGCTAGGGAAATGGATCTTTTCTGAGATCATATGGTATCACAAGGGGCCCATGGCGGCCTAAGTGAGGGGATTAGTTTATAATCCCCAACCATGCTCACCTAACCAGTCAAGTAGGTTTGGAGGAAACCCTAAAAGGGACAATTTATAAATAAGAAGTTTATGGTTCACAGAATCAAAAGCTTTAGAAAAATCGGTATAAATCACATCAGTTTGATGATGTGTCAGGAAGCCTCTAGTAATTAAAGATGTAAATTCTAGTAGGTTTGTAGAAGTAGAGCGACGTCTAGTGAAGCCATGTTGACACGGTGAAATAATAGACCGGCAATGATGCTGCAACTGACAGGTAATAATTTTTTCGAAAAGTTTAGGAATTGCACTGAGTTTAGCAATACCACGATAATTTGAGATGTCGGACTTGTTCCCTTTTTTAAACAATGGAACAATAAACGATTCCTTCCATATGGATGGAAATCTTCCTTGACTTAGCGACAAATTAAATATTAATGTTAAGGGAAAAGCTAGATAGGACGAACAATTCCTCAGTATACAACTTGGTATTTTATCAGGACCCGGTGAAAAAGAGAGCTTAAGAGTATCAAGACTCTGAAGAACATCAGATACATTAATCACTGGTTTGATGATAGAGTTCAGATGAGGTAGTGGGTATGGATAATCATTTTCAATAACACCATTGCATTCCGTATAAGTCGATTGAAAAAAATCAGCAAATAGGTTGGAAATATCATTGTCATCAGATGCTATATTATTATTAAGAAAGAGAGAATGAGGGAAGCAATTAGATTTCCGCTTAGAATTAACGAAAGAATAAAAAAGTTTAGGATTACTTTTGAAATCACGCTTACAACGAGACAGGTAATTTTGATAACAGTCAGAATTGGCCCAGTCCGTCAGCAAGCCAGAAATTTTGAACCGTTTAAAAAGTCAGTTTTTTTTTTTTTTAGATAGGATAGTTGACGAGTAAACCATGGAGAGCTATACGAATTCGTCAAGGAGGAAAGAGGGACATGAACATCAAATAGACGATAAAGGACTTTATAAAAATATCCAACTGCATCATCAACAGAAAGGTCAATAAGATAGGACCAATTATTTGTCGATAAAGATTCAACTAGTTTAGCATAGTCAGTCTTTTTAAAACACAAACTAGGATGTACGTTTATTGCAGTCCTGGGAGCATTAAAAATCCATTTATACAGAGCTGAAGGGTAGGATGATGACAATCTTCAGGTAGAGATAATGGCAGAATTCGACTAACTTCAACATCGATACCATCAAAGACGAAGATTAAGTCAAGGAGACGACCAATATGATTGGGAATCCAGTTATCTTGCTGCAAGGATAGTTCAACAAGACCATCAACAAAGTCATGTTGCATCCTAGTAATCATTGCCAATGAGTCATTACTCTCCAACCAAGAAATATTGGGAAGATTAAAGTCACCGAGCACAATGAGTTGGTCAGTTTCAGCAAGCAACAAGGAGATAGACTGTATGGCGGAAAGGTGCAATATATACACCTCAAATTCGGAGTTAGGGGGTATATAGGAGCATGTTAAAAAAATTTTATTTTTTGGGAAAGATAACACCAGTTTACAAAAAAAAATCGATGAAATATACCATGAATGAAACCTTTGTTTTCCAGTAAGGAACGTCTTCCTAATTAAGAAAATGGCACTTAAAATTTTTTTTATGGATAAAATTTTTTTTAAAGTGTAAAAAACGTTTTTGACACTTTTGTAATTTCTAACTTGAGTTGTGGTTAACCGATTTCCACCAAAAGTGACTCATTTTACAGGTAATAGAATGCGCTCCCACTTTCTTATACACTGCATTGAGTTCCATTCATTAGTTTAGAAGCTACATTTCGTCAAAGTTGAAAAAGTTAGAAAAAATGCAAAGATGCTGGCATAAATGGCTTCGTTAAAAATACACGCCTAAAAACCGAAATTAGTTTTATGACTTATACTTAAAGATACATCTTTAAGCCAACTAACAAGACCATCAACAAAAAAATCAATCAATAGTTCGATTTTATATCGATTTTTTACGTTGGGAAAAACGGATGTTACAGCCCTGTTAGAGCCCTGTTGTGTCAGTTAACAGCTGTAAACGGCCAAAAAAACACCGTTGTCGCAAGCTTAAAAAATGCATATCAAATTAATTAGTTGGTGGATTGTAATGATTAATAGCTTGTATTTTTTGTCAAAGCACCTTCTACCAGTAAAAGTTATAAAACTAATTCCGGTTTTTAGGCGTGTATTTTTAACGAAGCCATTTATGCCAGCATCTTTGCATTTTTTCTAACTTTTTCAACTTTGACGAAATATAGCTTCTAAACTAATGAATGGAACTCAATGCAGTGTATAAGAAAGTTGGAGGGCATTTTATTACCTGTAAAATGAGTCATTATACCGGTTGAAATCGGTTAACCAAAACTCAAGTTAGAAATTAAAAAAGTGTCAAAAACGTTTTTTACACTTTAAAAAAAATTTTATCCATAAAAAAAATTTTAAGTGCCATTTTCTTAATCAGGAAAACGTACCTTATCGGAAAACAAAGGTTTCATTCATGGTATATTTCATCGATTTTTTTTGTAAACTGGTGTAATTTTACACAAATAAATTCAATACCTGATGAACCAGAAATATCAACAAGCTCGGAAGTTAAATCGGATTTGACTCCAATAAGAACGCCTCCACCTCGACGGGTATGACGATCATTCCGATAAACAAAAAAGTTATTTGACAAAATCTCACTATCGTGTACAGATGGGCTAAGCCAGGTCTCAGTGAATACAATAACATTGGCTTCAAAAATTGAGCTGTTTTTATAAAGCGTTGAGAGTTTACTAAGAAGCCCCCATACATTTTGATAGTGGATTATGAAATTTAGTTTTTTGAATTTGAAGCAGAGGTGGGCGCCAACAAGGAAGTGATGGGAAGCGAACAATTTTTATACCCGTTACTCGTAGAGTAAAAGGGTATATTAGATTCGTGCAAAAGTATGTAACAGCTAGAAGGAAGCGTTTCCGACCACATAAAGTATATATATTCTTGATCAGGGGCACTAGCCGAGTCGATCTAGCCATGTCCGTCTGTCCGTCTCTCCGTCTGTCCGTCTGTTTGACCGCTGAGATCTCAGAAACTACAAAAGCTAGAAGGTTGAGATTTCCCACACATATTCTTGGGCTTCCTACGCAGCGCAAGTTTATTTTAGCCGAGCGCCACGCCCCCTCTAACGCCCACAATCGCCCACTAACGATTTTAAAATGGGTCGGGCGCAGGACCATCTTTAAAGATTTCCGAGAAGTATAAATGCAATTTTGTTGTGTATATTTATACCTATCGAAATGTAGAATACATTTTTCAAATCGGACCATTCATTAAAAAGTTATACGCAATCAACATTTATATATCTATCTCCCTCGCACTATCCAGTACAGCGTTCGCACTTCCTTTAGCTGAGTGACGGGTATTAGATAGTTGGGACACCAACCCGACTATAGCGTTCTCTCTTGTTTTTTTATATATTCGTGAACAATTATATTAGCAGGCCAAAAATTAGGGTCAATAAGTTTGGAGAACAGTTCATCCGGAACATTGTGAGGAGTTAAATAACTCCGCACAAATAAACAGAGTGTGCAGAGGGCGAAAGGTCGAACGGTAAAACCATGCACTTTGGACCCTGAAGTGGAGAGTTGGAGAAAGAGTTGGGAGAGTACCAACCCAGAGAGAGAGAGAGAGAGAGCAAAGAGAGGCGTCAGAGCGAGACGGCACTAGCCTGAGGGAGAGACGAGAGAGCGCAGGCGTGCCGTGAGCAAGGAATTAACGGTACAGCGCCGCACTTTGGACCCTAGAGTGGTGCCGTGCGCAGAGGGCGAAAGGTCGAACGGTAAAAACCGTGCACTTTGGACCCTGAATTGGAGAGATGAAAAGGAGAGGCCGAGGATTAACGGGACCCGGAGGCCTATATAAGCGGGCTCTGCGCTGGAGTCGGGACCAGTCATCGAGCATCAAATCGCGAGTGAACAACGTTTAGTAAAGTCAAAGTCAAGGAGAAACCGCCGTGGAAAACCACCAAGGAGCCAGATCGCTACGTCAAGACGTTCGGGACCAAGGAAGTCTTCGAATTGCGACACAGGTAGCTGAGGTCCTCAAGCAACGCACGACTAAGTCTGCAGAACATCAAGGTTGGCCGTAGTACCGATCATCCCGACTATATTGGCTGTGGTACCGATTAGTCCGGCTACGTTGGCTGTAATACCGGTCAGTTTGGCTGCATTGGCTGTAAATACCGATCAGGCTAGCTGTGCCGGCTGTAATACCGACTAGTCCGGCTACATTGGCTGTAATGCCGATTAGTCTAACTGCGTGCGACTAAGTTGGCCGTAGTACCGACTGGTCCGACTACATTGGCTGTAATACCGATTAGTCCAGCTGCGTCGGCCGTAATACCGATCAGTTGAGCAGGACATAGGCAGACTTGGCACAGGCATCCCCACCAGCAGTGTGTTGGGCACGACCAGCAGACTTCAAGGGAGCAACGCAGGACAACGCAGCAACGCATCGCCCAGGACATCGACGAGGACAAGCAGCCAGGGATCGCGCAGAGAGCCAGGCATCAGGTACGATCGCAACAGCCAGGAGGGAAGGTTAGGGTGGAACGTTCGTCTTTCTCCGGCCGTAGTACCGGAGCGTCAAAGGAAACTGAGTAGGCGTCTAGCGGGACCGGCCGGGACAGAGCAAGGGACAGGAGGCTGCGGCTGGCAGGACGAAGGTCTTGCAAGCGTGGTGCCTGTTCACCCTAGTCTGAGAACGGTGACGCTTCCCTAAGCCCAACGACCCAACTCCACGCCCTCGTCTACGAGTGGCAGCGAAAGTACCCGGAGCATCCAGGAGCACCTGCAGCGAGGAACCATCATCGGAGTCGCAGAAGCATCGTCAGCACGAGTCACAATAATTATTGTAAGCAAGAGCCGTA